GGTCCGATACCCCGCTGGTGGGAGAAACCTGAATGAGGTAACCTCGCAAGTCGGTGTGTAGGATCTCGCCGCCACTCAGCGGGGAAAAGCATCACCACCTCCCGTGAAAAAAACAAAACAAAAAACAAACAAACTTAAGTGACAAATGATCATAGCAGTCGATGCTCCCGGCAGCATGAAATAGCTCGCTAAATTAATCGATAATAAAGTAAAACAAAATTATAAAGCAAAAATTAAAGTTTGTCAACGTTAATTAATAATCAAATCACCAAAATTACCATGCACTACTTCTTTAATACTTTTTTTTACCATCATAAGAACACTTCTCTTGCATGCTCAGTATGGGCCAGCTCTGCCAAATCGAATACCAACAAACTACAAGTAGTTCAAAATCATTTCCTCCGCACTATCACGAACGTGGTTAATCTCTATTACTCAACTTCACAAATAATTTCAGTTCGAACCTTAACAACCACATTATTTTTAATCCACCCTTTTCTTTTCAAACATCTCAAACCTGCCAAATTTAACTCCTTAAGACTTTGCCAAAATCCAACTAACAAAACCGGTATTAAGAACAAACTCATGATCCACACTTTTCTCAACAAATACTCATATGTCGATCCAAAACAATTATCTATCTAAATATATCCCTATCAACCCAGTAGTAAGTAGAATTATTGTAAGTAAATTTCAAGAAGATTTATTTAATCTTATCGGGTGTAAAGTGTTATTATACATTGACCATTGTATTGTACAAAAGAAAATACATAAATAAATAAATAGAAAACACTTCACAAAATCAAAATTTCTATGTGGTTGAGGTTGTTTTCTTTGATATTAGAAAGAGTGAAGTGTGACCCAATTATAATCGAAGAGGTAATTATTCAAAGAAGTTTTGTAATGCGAGGTTGCCATAGAAGTGATCTAATTTTGTTAATCAATTTTAATGAGCTTTCGTGCAATCAATTTATAATGAAACATTGTGTCACAAAACTTTTGACAGGTAAATTTATTGTCGTCCACAAAAACCGTATATTACAAAGTCCATTATTAAAATGAACCGAAATACCTGCCTTGAAAGGTCTATCTTTCAATAATCATCTAAAGAAATGAAAAATGAAGATGCCATCGTCAGTGGAGAAGAAAAGTATCTTATGTACACTAGGAATGTTTTATGATGGAGAGGGCTATTCTAAATCACCTTATATCCTTAAAACATAGCTAATACCTATGGATGACATTGAACATCCATTGCATTCCAAATCATTTGCAGTGTTTCTAGTTTCATAAGCTAGGTTTTTGAGAAAATAAATACGACTGTATCCATGAAATGTGATAATTCTGTCTTAATGCTGACAGTATGCATTTTTACCAGAAAGCGTTATAGAATAGTTGAAAATAGGGACTGGACTGTAATTTTCTTTGATTGTTGTTCTTGGTCTCTGTAAAACCGTGTAATCTTGGTTGTTTTGAAAATAACTGGCAATGCGTTGCATCTCGAGAATATCCTCCATAATATTATTACTCAACAACTACTCATATAAAAAAAGTTCATAACATCATTTAAGGACATACGTATAAGGGATAAATTGCATTGAGAAAGAAATCTCTCAATTTTAATATTGTTGGAAAATAATGTGTTTGAAAGAATATTTTAACTTTTTGCATTTTTTTGAAGATTTCAGTGAAAATTGGACCATTTTTATAAAAGGGTTTTTCACTATTATACAAAATTTTAAAGAAACATAGAGTAATTTTTTAGAAAATTTTTAAAATGTCGCAAGGACTTCAGGTAAATTTCTTTAAAAATTAAAATAACTATTTCCGAAACGGCATGACGATACCTAACGTCATTTTAGAATATAAAAATCACAACTTTGAGACTTTCAATTTCGAAATGTTTAGCTTTATATATACTATTTCTTGAGGAAATTAGTGCGGTTACAACGGCACATAATGTTCTCAATTGTTTCTAACTCGCAATTTTCGAAAATTTAGAATTCAACGTAAATGAGACCTGCGTCATTCTTTTTCTATACTCGGTGTTCTATACTCGGAAAAAAGGTATAGAACAATTGAGTTTTCGAATCTTTTTATAAAGTGCATCAGTAAAAATCATAAAGTAGAAATTAAGAAAAACCCCTTTATTTAAAAAAAATGTATTGGACTTTTTTTCTTGTAAACGTACGTAGTATACGTTGTATATGGAGTATTATACGCGGTATAGAGAATTTTATGGATGTAATGCTGCAGAAAATAGATTTCGAGATTTCAACGGAAATTTCGTTTTGGGGTCCTGAACTGTACTTTGGCGAACTGGAAAAGTATTTCAAAATGTCCGTATGTCCGTCTTTTAGCATGGACCACAAGTGACAAACAAGGTTTTCTATCTTAACTCTCTATAAAAAATCGGAAAAAAGTTGATTTACAAGGTTTTTACACCAGGGAAATATACTGTATATATATATTTCCTTCTTCTTTATTGCTAAACATATAACACTGAACGTACTTAAACAACTTTTTTTGCTTATGAAGTTATTAGGGGTTTTCTGCTTTATTGTTAGTTCTATTACATACTTTGATATTCCTACGCCATTCCGCAAATTGCGAATTGTAACCGCGTGTTTATAAAGTATACGGAGGGGTGGATCTTAGTGATGTTTATAAAGTAAACTGATGAATTTGCTTCGTGAATTGATATGAAAGCTTCTGCGCCTGGGGGTCTACAGAAACTGTTCTGTTCGGGAGTCGCCGCATCTTAGGCATAGTGGCCAATGTTTTGGCCGTCAAGAGAGAGGTCATATCAAAGGTCGCAAAACGTTGGCCAAAACCTTGTCAACTATGTCTTATACGGTCGTCTGTCTGGACAGAGAAGTTTCTCTTTCTCAATAGGTAGGCAAGATATACAATTTTCCCCTGAAAGATCCTCTTTCATTACGACCTCAGAGATGATTTGGCATTTCGTCTCTCAGTATTGTTGGTTATACATGTGCATATATGATGACAATGATTATAATAGATGAATCATCTTGGGATTAATGGTATGATATGTTTTGTTTTGAGAAGCCAACCAGTTTAAATTCACTAGTGAAAATATTTATGCCTTACGCTACACTCGAACCAGCTGCCAATCAGCTACGCCTAGTGCGGCTACGCCTAAGCCGCTACGCTGCTTCTAACTCCATTACTAAAGAGGCACGGACGAAATGAAGCCAGTTTTTCATGATGGAAAATATATGAAGGCCATGCCATCACCAGAGGGTCAGCAACGTCTCTATTGAAGACTCGTTTCAAAGTAACTTTAGGATCGCAATTGTCTACGCATTTCCTAGTTAGCGGGGAATCTTTGACATTCGGCCTGTGCAACTTACATAAAAAAACTGAGTCTGCGGAATATAGTATCTCCAACTATTTTTTCTCACAAGAAAATCTTTGCGATCGGGAATGGATCCCTCAAACAGCATGCTTCGAATTGCGTCACTGCATTGTGTGGTAACCAGTGCTATGTAACGGTAATAAAACTAACTCGTAAGCGGGCATGACTTCGCGGACTCGCCAGAGACGCCATTCCGATTCTTTGCAAACGTTTTCAGCGTGCTCGCGACCCCGGGTTTGATTCCCGATCATTGTGTGCGTTTTTCTTGCAATGTCCCAGAATACATTGCTGTGTTACGGTGAGAAAATTCACTTCTCAGGTTGAGTTTTCTTTCTTACATTTGAGATATTTGCCAAAGAAACAAACCGAGATAAATTTGCGATGGGTACTAACCACCACAAAAACTTCGTTCTCCGTGGGCGTACGAAATACCTCTTCCACTTCTCGTGTGCGAATGCAATGGGCATCTTCGTCGTCACTACCATCACCATCACTGTCATTGGAATACAAGTACATCTTCCTCTCCGAAAGAATGTTGTCGGTGTCGTTTCCACTGCCGTCGCCGCCCTGATCCACTTGTAGCAGGGGCACGTTCGCCTGGGCGTTGCCAAACAGCGCCATGAAATGCACGATGTCCCGCACTTTGTTTCCGCCTTCGGCAGCCAGCGTCACTAGCTTGAAGCGCTTCGTGACTTTCCAGCTCTCTTTGAGCACCCCGTGTCCCTCCACGCCGTCCTCCAGTGGCTCGCCCAAGAGGGCGTGTCGCGCCACTGTCGCCCCTGCAGCCAGGACTGCTGTCAGCAGCCACGCGGTGGGTAGGCGCATCACCCTCAGTTCCAAGATCCTGTCATTGGTGACAATTTACATTAATACAAATGAAATCATGACAATACTAACAATATAATAATTGTTAAAAATAATAATTATAATAATTGTTAAAAATAATAATAATAATAGTAATAATAATAGTAATAATAATAGTAATAATAATAGTAATAATAATAGTAATAATATTAATAGTAATACAAAATAGTCCTCGTGATTAGCTGTTGGTCAGCGTGTTCGTTGTCCACTACGCGACCCCGGGTTCGATTCCCGGTGAGGCAAGATTTTAGTGTGTGTTTTCCTTTCAACGTCCCAGTATATGTTGCTGTGCGACGATGAGAAAATTCACTTCTCGGGTTGAGAAGACTGGAATACGGCGTGGGGATGTCTACTTGCTGACTCCACGTACCCCCCCCCCTTAGCCCATGGCCGCGAGGATGGGGCGTCGCCAGTAGGACTGAGCCCGTTCACGGGCTGTCGCGCCAAATACATACATACAAAATAATACCTTTTAATATATGCTTGTGGTTATTTACATGAATAGGGAATGGATGTAACGGACTCGTAAGGTTGGGAATGGAGTAAGGACTCGAAATTTCAAACTACTTAGCATTAATTACAGTTGTAATAATATATTTTGCTGCTCACGTTCCCTCAAAAGTAAATTTGACATCTTTATAGCAGAAATTCATTTATAATTTTGGTTTGTGCTGCAAGATGACAGTGATACAATAAAAAAAATACATTCAGTAGATTATAACTAAAATAGGATACAGAATAACAACAGTTTTTGTATTTATAAGGACATTGTATTCTATCAGAAATAATATTATAAGTAATAAATATATTTAGAAATTATAATGTATGTTTTAACTTCATATAAAAACTGTTTTAAATTTAAGATAATAATTTTTTAAAAAAATATTAGCATAGAGTAGTATTATACACAAGACAGTACTTACTGGTAGTACTTACGACAGTATTTACTTGTAGATGTTTAAAAGTAACGGTTAAGTGTTAGCAATTGAATTATAATAAAAAAGGTTTTAATTGTTTTTGGACATTTTATTCAAAACTCATTATGAGTATGGATAGAATCAATATACATGGTGAATCATTTCAGGTGAGAAAGCAGCGTCTTCTCAATTAGAGGAATAAATGATTATCTTATGTCATTTTGCTGAGAAACGCTTCGTCACTGTGCAGCAGTTACCTGACGATTTCTTTTTTCTATATAGTTGTGTTGTGCGTAAAATGCGTTGAAGCGCTGATAGTATTCTTAAATGTTGCCAAAGAAAAAAATACTTTTTCGGCTGCAAACGATGCAAAACGCGAATTTGTGAATTGTTGTAATAGGAGGACGACATCCCCGTATTGCGCGTGACCGGGTGATTACCCCCCACCTCACCAGCTGGCCGTCAAAATTAGCGTCTTTCTCTGTTATAGCTCAAGATGCAAATGACTTTCTGCGTTACACAAAAAGCAAGAGTGAAGCTACAGAGTATTTTTCACATTAAAAAAATGGTGTCGTGACGGTTCATAGTGTCAACAATACTGTTATATAATCAAAAAGAAAAATAATGTTTATTTTAAAAAAAACGGTGATTTATATATATTATATTATATTGATTTACATGCAAATGTAGTTAAATGCAAATGTTGAGAGGCCCCTTGTTTTGCTTCTGGACGTAAATGTAGCTTCACTAAGCGCAGGTTTTGTTGAACTCTCCTTTTCCATTAATGGTAGGAGTAGAGGTAAGGGCGAGTTACTATTTTGTTGGCAATGCAGAAAAATAAATTCGTTTATCGATGCAAATAAGTTTTCTATAACTTGGGAACAAAAATGTCTAATTATTTCAAATAATGTTAATCTCGCGCTTTTTTAAAATTTGTTTTTATTTATTTATTTTAAACTTCAACTATTTATAGTTAAGACCATGGGAAGAGATTGTGGAATTTAACAAAACGTGCGCAGATGATCTTCCCCATACGTTACATACAGTTTTTACTGTTTTTCGACGAAATAAATCTGAGTCTGCTTTTAATACTCAATATATACTGATGTTTCCCTCGCTCGGTAAGTTAGATTTTTCCTTTCATTAGTTTTCAAACCAAGGAACACGCTTGAATTCAGTTCAAAAACACTATATAGGAAAAGCGTTAATCTTGTTTCTGGAGTAACATTTCATCGTTGTCAACCGAAATGCGTGCTTGCACACATATTTAAAGTGTCGGAAAGCAATGATGAAGATCAAGTGACTCGGCTACAATATCCCTGACATTCTACGTGTGTACGTGTTTTATTTATTTTCCTGTTTTTCCTTCAGCGTATCTCAGGGTTATCATCGGATGAGATGTAGACAAACAAGTATTACCGAAACTTGGCCCATTTGTTTTTGAAAATGTTGTGAAATGGTAAGGAAAGAGAGTTTTATCTATTCTGATAGTTGAAGGTGAAGCCACGTAGATATTTAGTCTTGTTTCATAAATATTCATATCTTGTGTTGCAGATGATCTTCAAACAAAAACTTTTGATATGTACTGGTTGAATCATAGGTGCACCAGTAGATAATGAGTAGAATATTGTCGATTCCATGTATTTTTTTTATAATTGATGGCATTGAAAAGCACAAACACAATATGTTTATTAGTTTTATGATTTCGTAATGTCTGAAGGTATTATTTATGTTCATTTTCTAATAGCACGAAATTTTCATGAAAATGATGTAAAATACTTGTATTTTCCTTTTCAAAACACGTAATTCCTTAAACTCTTCTTTAGAAGCTTCTGCTCTTTTAAAACACAAGTTTTTGATAAATTTCAAGCATCTAACATTTGTTGTTGCATTTTAACTCACCTTTGATGGATGAAATTCCGTGACTGATGCTCGTATAGTCGCTGTGATACGTACAATCATAGGAATCTGGCGTGTAATGTAAACAAAATACGCATTTAGAAAAAATAAGTAAAAAACAACTTCAGAAAATTAATCGTATTTTCTCTCTAAGCGAATATGAGCGTAGAATTGTAGCGTATTGTCACTGAAATGTCACACGTTTTAATCTGCACTGCAAGAAATATACATTTAAAAAAATGTATACTTCAAAAATTTTGGAAGACATCATTGTTTTCTACCATCATTATCAATTAATCATACTGGAAACATAGTATTTTAGGATTTAAAAATTAAGTGTTCATTCTCCGTAAGTAAGACGTTTTCTGTGTGTAACATTTATATGCTCAAATAAAAGCACGTTGTTCTAGAAAATTACACCAACAATGACAAATCTCGACACCTATGAAAACAGAAAACACAAAATGTTTTTTACGCACAATCCCAAAACAAGAACACAAGGAACGGTGACTGCACACGCTCTCACTTGGAATAAAACCATCACTAATCTTCCTTCATGCGTATCTCTCCACAGACGTTTTGCATCTGACGTACACTGACACTCCGGAACTAAGGAGGATCTCCATTTTCGTTATGACGCTCACCTGGGACTTCCGACCTGTGCATCGCGTGTGGAGGGCAATGCCTATGGGAGTAGCGCAATCAAACACTCATCGGAAGTCTTGTCTGTTTGCCGCGCCTTAATCCGCTTGTTCATCGATTGCCCTCTCACCATCCGAACACCACTTCCCAGCCCCCTCAACCCATTGAGTGACCGACATCCGAGGCGGCTTTACAAACACAACTTCGCAAGTAAATAAACCTTTCGCGTGATTGTTAAGCTGAGCAGTTTTCCTGGCAATTTAAGCACGGAGATGCACGAAATGAGATCTGTATGAAAATACCTCGTTGTATAGTTCCTTTCTCCGATGTTTTTTCTGTATCAATATTTTTACTTGACATAATAAAAGTAATGTTGAGGTCTTGTCAAATGTAAGCCACTCAACTACTAATATTATTATTATCATCGTTATTAATTATTTCTGGAGCCTTCTAGCAACATTGACGGGCCATTCATTTAATAAATGCATTTGTGAAGAATGAATGTATGAAAACAAGAGAAAATTTGATATTTTTCTCTCTTGAGAACCTCTTTTAATCTTGTAGAGGTCGAGAAGGAATTACACGAGTGTGAAAAGAGATGTTAAAAAGAAAAGTATTTACAAAATACGCATTCACATACCTTGAATTCGACGCCAAGCATCTACTTCGCGATTATAAGCACTCCTTTGAATTAATCGAATTTAAGATCGTGCATTTTTTATTTTCCCTCGTCCGAAAGTTGGTGCAAGCAAGGCTTCAAGACAATCGGAGGTTCGTCACTTGGCCTCCAGAACGCAGCACAATAAAATAAGTGGGACGTCACAAGATTTCTATGCATGTCGCTACGATTTCTAAGAAACGCTCGAAGTATTGTTGCGTAGAGGAAGTGCGACGCGAACAGTTGTGAATCGCGAGTTAAAATTGTTTCTTTTGATTGTAATCGGCTTTGTTACCCGTCAGCGCTTATATAATTTGTGTGAGTTATCGACGGCTAGAGAGTCGGATGATTTAGTCTCTTTGCTATCTGCAGTAGTCCAAGCAAAGGCGGTACGGACTTCTTTCAAAAGGCTTCCTTTCCTCACGAAATTGTAGCTTGATTAGTAAATTAAATGACAGTCAGGTGATGTCAAAGTTTATTCTGATCGTTTTTAGCTCTTATGACAGCACCATAGTGTTTTCATGTGTTGACAACATTATTATTGTATTCAAGCTGCGGAATTCTGCGAACTTAATTTCTGACGAGATTGCATTGCGAATATGCGTATAGTATTCAGCGTATTTTTAAATTTTATTTTTATTTAAATTTGTTCGTCTTTTCTGAAACAGATCACTCGACCCTTCCTGGGAATTAAACGTCTTAATATATGGAGGAATCATCCAGTAAGATTTTGTCTTAATGTCTCGTCACGTTGCGGTTAGTCAATGCCCTTTATACCTTCGGCCAGAACCTCGGCGCTTTATTGAATAAGGATTACCAGACGATCACTCATCAGGGATCCGTGGTGTCTCGAGTTAACTTTCGTAACTTCATGGAGCGTAGACAAGCAATTCGGCTAACGACGCCGACGCCTTCATCAATGATTTTCCAAAAATTCTAGACTAGTTAAACGAAGCCTTAATAAAAGGGTTTTGAAAATAATGCAAATAATTTGTAATTAATAAAAATAATGGAACACTAGATTAAATTCAATGTAATTTTTATTTGCCAATTGATCATAAGTAATTTATACTTAATAATTGAGTGCGAGTCATTTCAGGTTTATAAACACACAAGCGAGTTCCTCATATTAGTAATTTCCATTTTGGCATCACAAACATAGATTCCCGTGGCGTAGAAAGTTCTTTTCATTTTTAATTTATTTCATTCGTACATAGAATTACGTGACCTAGAGAAAATTACACAGTGTTGCGGAAAAATTGATTTCGACATGTTAATAGAAATACGCGTTTTGGGCTCCTCTGATACCGTAAAAGTATTTTCTTTTTCTTAAAAACGTCCGTCCGTCTGTGAATAACAGTAGAGCCTAAACTATTCCTAATATTGAATTAGGAAATATCCATTTTGAAAAATAATCCAAAATGAATATTTACCGATCGATCTCAAAGCGTTGTGATATGTAAAAACTTTCTTTAAATTTTTGAAGTACTCAAGCCCCTGAAAACATTTTCAAAATGTTATCGAAAATGACTCCAATTTTTTCCTTTAAATGTCTTGGAAGAATATAATGAAATACTTTTACAAGATGACATAGGTCCGATATTCACTGTAAACTATGGATATTAGAAAATTTCAAACGTTACACATGTTTTCGGTGTCTTCCTAAAAATACAATAGAATTAAATATAGATATTTTTTTCTTAAAAATAATTGTTTTCCACAATCAGTACTTTCATTAGTATCATGTATTTTATTAAAATTTTAGTAGTTACCGCGTAATTTTGAATGAAATATGGGAAATACCAAAATATTAAAATAACAATTTTCTCAAAAACGGCTTCAAATTGTTCTTTATATTTTTTTAAAGGGGTAATGTATGTTATTTTGATGTATTCATTTTATTTCCAAAAATACGCGAGAATACTTTTTAAAAATATTCCTCCCTTGGTTAGTATTTACAATATCGGCATTTTATACTTTATTGAATTTCTGAGTACAAGAGCTTTAGGCAATCTCTTTTAAAGTTTCTCAAAAATTCAAAAGTTTTCTGTGAAAATGAACTCATAATTGCACATTTTCAAAAACGCTCAAACGCTCGTTTATCGAAAACTGTCTTCATTTTTTTGCAATTCATCATAAATAGCAGTTTTCTGTAGTATTTTTTTGTTTTTTTACAAAAATGGATAAATGTGTTTTTTGAAATATCTTTCACGTAAATATTTACATTATTGGCATTTTTTATTGCAACTGTGAGTACAATTGCATGGAATAATTTCTGATGTTTTCAGAAAACTTGAAAATGTTGGATAAAATGAGATTCAAATAGCTAATTTTCAGGTGTGCTTCGAACAACATTTCTTAAAAACGTCTCAAAATGTTTCAAAGAAAATCTACATGTAGGATCAGGTTTTACATATCTATAATATTTTTAACATCATTTTGCAATAATGATCTATTAGGGATCCAAAAGAATGTGAACAAATCAGCTGCGTCAATAGATGGCAGCTGAGACGAGGGTGTAGCAAAACCAGCTAGACAGCACAGACTAGTGAGATTAGGAAACTAAGAAGTGAGAGAAAGCCTGTGCCAATATGTAACACCATTTGTTTTAATTTTGACGTAGTCGAAGCCGTCCGTGCAAAGCTATCTGACTCTTTTACTCTGAAAAGAAACATTCCTATTCGCGGCAAATTTCATAAATAATTTCCCCCCAAATTGAAATTTTCCTACTCATTTTTTATAATATACCTTTAACAGTATTCTTCAATCACTGAAATATCATTATTACAAATTGTGTGTAAAAAATACAAACAAACAACCATTAATTCAGTTCAACTTGTATCTGGGAATGTAAATGACCGGCAAACCAATTTTCAGATACTTGCTAACTTTCTGGCCTGTAATAATTTCCATGTAGTATGAAACTACGAAACTCACTTGATTTCTGCTGTAAACATTTTCATCCCGGGGTAAATATGTCTACGATTGGCCACGTAACTGTTACGGCAGCGGTGGTGGTGCCATTCTTAGTAAACATAGAATTTCTCATTTTCATCCTGAATATACAAACCTCGCAAAAAGAAACGTAATCTTATTAGTACAACAATCAGATCAATTCTGTCTCATCGTGATTTAGAAATATATTATAACCGAAAATACTTTAAAAAATATGTGATATTGAGTCATTATTCTCTTCAAATCAGCCTTCAATAAAACGCCAAGTCATCTTCCCGCTTCTTGCTTATGTTAAACGATAACATTTTACAGTGAATGCTCCGAATTCTCCCAGTTATTATTCTTATCGAACTTCAAATCGAGCAGATATTCTCGACTTCGGTATCTCCAGAAACATTAACTACTAGTATAAAATACTCGACGAGCCACATGTCGTTCTCCCCTCAGACCATCACCCACTTACCTCAGTTCTCCCTCTACCCCATATTCACCTACTCATATTATTTCAACATCAACAGAATATTAATTCGAAAAATACAAAGCACTAGGTATACTTTGCTGAATCGTTTACTTCACATCCTTCAGAAAATCCATTCCTCTTTAATTTTATCCTGGATGAAAATCGTCTATCCAGAGTAACTACACGAAAATGCATTGCACCCATTGTTATTTTGAAACACCTTATTGACGCGACTCCAAACATATCATGTGGCCACGATTCCATTCCAACCAATTGCCTTAAACGCATTTTATTCAAGGATGTAGGGGGTGTTACAACAATCGTCAACGTATCTTTTCGTATGACATACTTCCATCGCAAATGAACGAATCGTATCATCTCTTTTCCAAAACCCGATAAGCAAAAATGTTCTAGCAAGTTATATCTCCATTCCTTCTCAGGAAATTTGTATGAAAATGTATTGTAACAACATTAATGTCTCGTCTAAGCTGTAATAAAGTATAACAATTGGAATTGCAATAACTCCTGTCCATAAACCATCAAATATTATGATTACCGAAAACATAATCGAAGATTTTCACTAGAAGAAACAATGTCAATGTTTTCTTGGCATAGCCAAAACATTTCGTATTGTCTACATGTGCACATTCAGAAAGAATTTTTAAAGAAACTTCACATCGGAATCTATCAATGTATTACATAAAACGTCGAATGCTTCATCGTATATAGCCTTTTCTCAGTCCATGGGTCAGGGGGTAAAAGATTGTGAGTTGATATACAGTAACATAGATGTATTAAATAGTTACGAACATGAGAACATTCATGTATTACATGCTGTTGTTTAAAAATGATTTCAGAATCCCATTTTGCACAATCACTTTATGAAACACACCCGATGTTTTTTTACTCGTAAATGATACCTAGAATACTGGATTTCCAATTTGCATGCGTGGTTTTTTAAACATTTCTTTAATTTCCAAAGATACCACTTATGAAGTAAAATTTCTATTAACAAAACTAAACAACAGCCCATGGTTCCCACCCCCAAAACGAGAAAACAAGATTTTACTTGGTCGAAACCTACGTTGAAGTCTCTATATTTAAAAACATTCGATATAACGTCCTTCATATATTTATCATGTTGTGCTTTGTGCTCAGCATACCATTTCTCTGAAATTCCAGATTCTATGACACTGTGGGAAATGCGGTTTAATGTGGGGAGAAATGGAGAACCATATGGTACAATATAAGAAAACACGTTCGTCTGCACCGTTTCTGGAATACAGTAAAAGGATTTCGAGGCACCTTCAATTATTCTTGACAGTGTCTTCCAATCACTGTTCCTTACAACTTGTGCGATCGAGCTATCAGTTACGGAGGTCATAAAATCCTTTACATTTGCGTGTTTGAGCATGTTCAAAAGCTTCTTCGAGACTGTATCGTCCATGTCTTGAAACAGTCTCTGTGATATGTGCAAAATGAAAATTAATATTTGGGATATACTTGACTCGCTTAACTCTTTCAGAGTCTCTATATTGCGTTCACGTGGCGGATGTGACACAATTTTAATATACACTGCCTGCATCATAGTGAAAGTTACAATTGTTGCGAGAAGAGGAAAAGTAACCGCGAGTCTTTCAGAATCCGCTGTCAGGTGAAATATTCGTTGTTCGGGAATGGTTAAACAGTAACGCAAAATTTCGTGAAACATGCCATCGATTTTTCTTTTCCAAAACAATCTCGAAAGATAGCACATTAGGAAGAGGTTAAAGACTGCTCCTAAGTACAACATATACACTTCAGGAGTGAAGGAAAGGATCCAGGCGCTGAGAAACGGGATCGTTGGAGGCACGTGGGCAATCACCACCATGTGATCATATTCTATGGGAGGATAAGCAAATTCTATCAAGCAGCGGCCATAGTAATCCAACGATCGAGCGTAATAGTCTAAGTCTGCTTTTTTCTTCAATAGCAAACCCAAAGTTCCTGTTCCCGATCTGTTGCCTGTTATTGTACCGGCAAAATGCATATCGTACGATACTTCAGTAACAATAGTCGCCTTAATGACATGTGCAAACAACTCCATGAATTTTTTGTCTCTGTGGTGAATATATTCTTCCGCGGAATAATTATTGCCTTTCGGTACGTATATTTTGTAAGCAGCCACTTTAACCGGGTAATCATGGACATCACGCATTAAATACGGATCTGTTTCCTGCATCTCTTGCGCGCTGATATTGTAGATTCTGCCTCCCTCTGACCCATTTCCAGAGGGCGAGAACGGGTCGTAGGAGAGAAGAGAGCCGGTGGTGGAACATTCGTCGACAATAAAGATGTTTAAGATACGCTTGAACACCCAGAGGATATGGAGTTGCGACCGATATATCTCAGGATCCGTCTGTCGGTCGGTGGAGTCATAGTCGCAGACTATCAGCACCAAAATAGCTGCGCGCGGGTGATAGCTTTGATGGCGATCGAAGAAGCGGAAGATATCCTCTGGACTTCGCACTATCTGTAAATGAAAATATTGGTTTAACTTAACATATATATTATTAACCATGATTTTCTGTACATTTCGTGAGCAAAATAGACTGGATTGATTGACTCAGAAATGGTCATTCATTAATGATCATGATCCGAAAGCAAACACAAACTACTTGAATTAAAACTATTAATGCCCTAAGTAAAGGATGTCCTGGAAGGAAACGTCGAAATATCGAAAATAATATCTTGAGACAATTTTAAGCATATATTGTCCAATAAACTCCTTGGATATTCCGAATAGCTGGGCCGCAATGAGCGCTCAAAAGTTAAGGTTTGAAAAAATACATTCCATTCAAAGATTTGTATTGCAGAAACATATAGACTCCCAGAAAAATGTAAATTGCTTATTATTTACAAAAGAAATGAATATATTTGTTCAGAATGAAAAATTAACACAGATATAAACTAGTGGTGCCACACAATGGCACAGGCTTTTCCGTATTCGTTTTCTATTTCCTTTGGTCTTGGCTAGCTATTCGAACTTGGAACATACTCTTGCCAACTACCATCTATCCCAAAGTAGTTTAAAAAAAATGCCTTAATTAAATATCATTTAAGTTATTTATTTTCCGCATTTGCGTTGTATTAATATTTAGCAAACTTTGCAAGGACACTGCGGACAATACTGAAGAGCCTGTAAACATTTCGTAACTATTCATATACTATTTTTTGGGTATCAATGACGGTTACATGTCATTAATTTAACTGTTATTAATATAAATGTAGAATGAGCAAACTTAGTACTTCGCCACCACTCTCGAACAAAAGGGTACGAGTATGTTTGAGCGTTTCCTACGAAGAGGCGTGCACACTGACCAGCATGAACAATTCGTGTTCCGTGGGCATCCGTGGTGCAGATCCGATCGTGCTCTCCTCGCCGTCTCCGCAACCATTGTTACCTCCGCCATCCCCAACGGCGACCATTACAGCCACCTCCGGTTGCTCGTTCATCATCTTGGCCATAGTTAGCCCCTTGTCGCTGAGAACCGCGTCGCCTGCTTCCAAGGCGAGCGTGACCGTGTCGAAGTGCTTGAGAATGGACGCGTTCGTGTTCACCAAATGCCACTGACGGGCGAAGGGCTTTTCGTAGAGTTGGCTCAATAGGGAGAGTTGGGCCGCTTCCAAATCCACAGATTTCATGATTAATAGGCTCAGGAACAAGAAGGTTTGCGCCTTGGAATTCATTATGCCAATCTAAAAGAAAGAGAAGATATCAGTTACTTGGAGTTGCTTCTTTTTACTTTCCCACACTACTTCGTAAGAATAGAAAGCATTGTAATCGAGTGCCTTAAATCTAAGATTTTTCGATAGAAAAACACATATTGCAGGCTGGGTGTAAAAAGAAAAGAAAAAGTGTAAACATCTTGTTCCTATAAGTATAAATTACTTCCTCTAACATGTAGTCCAGTCAGAATCCATGTTTTATGGGTCCGCTATACTAAAAAAACTCAAACTACCAAATGAACGGGAAACTTTGTTAAAATGGAACGGAGAGTAATATATAAAATATAATTCCGGTACGTTGGTACGTATCCACCAAAATATGAGCAGCTCATAAGCGGTTCACGCACTACAATGTCGTTTACCTTCTCAGAATTGCCTATCGCAGGCTCGCTGGTGGAGGCGGTGCTGTGTGGGGCTGAATGTTGCGTGCCGTGGGTGTTGCCCGAGGGAGTGGCACCGTCGAATACGCTGAACTCCTTTGTTTGTCCGTTCCTTAATCTGCTGCGTTTATCGGTGCGAGTGTATTGGAGCGATGTTATGAGACATAGTGCACGTTGATCATCCGAAAGAACGTTGATTAAACTTTTCGGAGGCATTTCCGTGTCCACAATAACTTGCACTCCCTTGTTTACAAATAGCTAAAAGAGTGGTATGTCCGAGGTGTGATATTTTCTGCTGATAAATATTTATAATTAAAATTTTATTTTGTGAAGGAGAGAAAATTTAATTTATTGCATTTTTGTATCAAACACGATTGTAATACAATTAAATATATTGCTTAAATATGTTTTCGAAAGTAAAACAGAATTAGAAAACAGTGAGACTGGGGCTTCCAGAAGGGCAAGAGGAACGAGCTGGGACAAATTGCACCCAGATCTTCTTAACTGAAGTCCCAACATTTGTTTTCGTCCGAAAACGTAGAAAAGCACTTGTGATTAAAATTAACCTCTAAAAGGTAATTCTTTTTCATGGAGAGGTGAGTTTTTTAATAAGTGGTAGGGGAATATTGTTTGAAATAAGGATTCCCCTTGGATCTTCTGCCTCAGGTGACATGTTTCATCTAGCACCCCTGGACAAGAATTGTAGATTTTCTTAGATAATCATTACCGTGATAAGGTACCTGTCTTACATGGAAATTTAATTTACAGCAAACAAAAAAACTGAATCATGTGAAAAGTAGATCACATGTTACAATGTCGATTAATGTCTTGATCCTGTTTCTCTATTTAATAGGAAAATCTTCCAATGGAGAGAATAGACGCTTGTAGAAAATAAATTTACCGTAAAGGATAGCCTTTCTCTTCCATTTGCTACAAGCGGAAGCTTCTTGAAAATCTTACTGAATCTTACGATTCTTCAACATGTGGACGTCGCTATTTTATTTAAGTCCAATAAACTCCATGCCAATGTAGAAAGAAACCTATTCAAGATAATAAATAACCACACGAAGATCGAAATTTCGATTAGTAAGTTCTATATCAGTGATGGATTCTACGAATATATATATACTCTCACCTCGCTTATGTCCTTAAGTGTGTGTCATCTGAGGAAACATTCGTTTGTCCCATGTGGATTCATTATCACATGTACCTTGGTCAAAATAATTGGTCGAACCGCGGTGTCAACGTACCAGTAAGCGCATGAGTCACCTTCATGTGAACTCAACCAAAAGTACGATCAAGGTAATGGTGAAGCAGACAAGTTTATTCTTCGAGACATTTTTTATTCTTCAGTTTATTAATATTTATGAAACATTTTTAGCTAAGTTCGGCCAATTGAAAAATATCTCTGTGCACATAAAATCATTCAATTTGTAGTCTGGAAAATAAAAATGTACACTACCATGAGTAAAATCTTGCGGATATATCCCAGAAACGTAACTAAAGAGATCCCCTATATGCATGAAAGCACGATCTTAATGAAGGATAATTATTTCGAATTTGCTGTAATGCTGATGGATATCAAGATTTATTGTAGTTAAAGTTTCGAGCATAATAAGTGAAGCAACATTATCGTGCTCCAAGGGATCTTCAGCAACCGCATCATTTCCGTGTTAACGAGTCATGCCGTGATGCACTTCAAACTAATTAAAGAATGTCTTATGACCAAATGTTAATTTATAATTTTTATAACTGACGGAAATGTACGGGATTATTTTCAATTTCAACTTATTGGTTGTTTCTTTGGTCCAAGTGAATTTCCATTTTATTGTGAACAAACTCAATTAACTTCTTCGGTCCACGAGCAAAGGCTGAAAATATGAAATTAATGTAGAGACATTAATGTACCACAGGTATTTTGTTGGAAATTCTTCCAGTACTTAAATTAATTGGTGCTGAAACTTTCGCAAATTACCACCTTAATTGGCTCAAAGTAATGCAATATGAGTTTTTTGTCGAAAAATCATGGGTTTTTCGCCTTAGCATTACAATAATTTCTCTCTATTACGTATTTTAGTAGAATGCGAGGAAGTGAACGCTAACTCAGAATAAAGAGTTTAGGAAAGTCTGTGACCTTTTGTTGCACAACTAGTTCCATATTATAGTGATATCAGTGTCTTTATGGAATGCTAGAAAATAAGTGGAATGTGATGATGGAAGCAGTTTATATTCGATAAAAGAAATATAATGAATATTTTGATGACAATTATTAGGCTGATAATTTTTAATCACGTCTGAAAAATATGAAATTCAACGTTATTTGCAACGATGTGTTGAATTTCAATACCATTTGAACAATATTTATTTTTTGCTAAGTGAATAAATAACCTCATCTGGTTGAAAATGCGTAACGATTCTCTAAAAAAAGTTAAACATCTTTTCATAAAAGATTCTATTAATAAAAGTTTAAAGGTAATCAATAAACACACAATTATATTCGTGGAATAGGACCAGAAATCAATATTTCATTCAACAACAGAATTATTTTAGTACTACGTTCGAAACTGTATTTTACCCTCAGCGTTTGCGTGGGAAATACATTTACTCTTCCATTATAATGCTTGCGTGTCTCCGATCGCGCTGGTGTCATGCGACATGAAATACTCTGGGGAGTTTATAATTAATGATGAATAACAAGACTCGCATGATATTTGAAGCCACGATAAAAACTTCGATACACTCGTGTTTAGAGGTAATATATGGAATAATCTTAAGGGTTCATCGAAATAGGATGCCAAAAGTGATAAGAGCAATGATCGTTACCAGATTATAAAATTTAAAAAGGCACGTGTGGAGTGTACAAAATATGACTACTGTACTCTTTCCGTCCCATCTCATTGAAACACATCTACCAATTACCTTTATTCTTTGGCACCGGTAAAATAACTTTATAGGACGTCTATACCGGAATGGACGTCCATAAAGGTTATACCGGTATTTTCAATGGAAATCAAGTCGCACGCACCATCCAAACAGAGAAAATAATTTCCTTTCGTTAATTATTTGGCAAAATGTTTATTAATTAAATAAAAGATCGTTCACGCACTTCCGCACTCGCGCACTCGTCCAATCACACGCGTCACACACATGTACACATGCGCCACACACATACACATTTCAACCCTGCGAAAAGAAACTGATAGCTTGAAGTGTGTCGAGTACTTCATCCTCTGAGTGAAACCCAAGGATTGAGCCGAACTAGAGACGCTGGGCCGAACTAGAGACGCCTGGTCGAAACGCTGACCTCCGAAAACTGCTTATGCAACAGAGATGCCCTCGCAACCCTTACAAAGTGGACTGATACCGAGAATGCATCGGCAGAGGTCGGAACGTTATGCAAAGTCAATCAAGCGGTGTCAGATCACTAGCGCGTACGTCCCTTCACAGCTGATGTCGAAGGCCATCCATTGGTCTCATTTTAGTTCGAAGCGCACTGTGATAAGCATTCTTAACAATTCTTCGGAAGTCAGTTGTAAGGATATCGTAAACTATCGTACCCCATCTCGATCAGGTTTTTGCCCAGTTTCCCCTGATCCTTGAGCAAATATGGCCCCTTGTTCTGCTTCTGGACGCAAATGTATGCGCACGTTTTGTTAAAATCTCCTTGTAATGGTAGGAGTAGAGGTAAGGGCAAGTTACTATTTTGTTAGCAATGCAGAAAAATCATACATTCAATTCGTTTACCGATGAAAATAAGTTTTCTATAACTCGGGAAAGAAATTGTCTATTTTTTTCAAATGTTGCTAACCTCGCGCTTTTTTAAAAATTTATTTTTATTTATTTATTTTAAACTTTTACAAATCTTTCAACAATTTATAGTTAAAATGATGGGAAGGGATTCTAAAACTAAAGAAAAGTGCGCAGATGATCTTCTCCCTCATACGTCACAGTTTTTACTGTTTTTTGACTAAACAAATCTAATCTAATTTAATCACTAATGCCATTTTTAAGAAACTTACATACGGTGCACTTGATAACATTCTAAGTTACACTCTATGTTTTGACACTTTTTTATTAGATCATTATCGTGAATATTTTGTTTCTAAAATGCAAAAGCCAAATATATACATATATTTATTTTTTATTTGTTTACTCTACATCAAGGTTGCATTTTCAGGGACTCATTTTTCAATAATTGTGTTTGGATTATTCACGCATGTGTTCGATTTCTCGTCTCTCTGAACCTCTCATTAAAAACTTCGGTTTATGTCACCCTGCATGACCTCCGAGAAAATGGACATCCTGCCGACAGATATGCTGATAAAGGCGTCGCGGCATCACGACTGGAAGACCAACGGTGCGCGTCGATTTCCGCACTTCGATAGGCGACAGGTCGTGTTAAGGTCGCAATACTAATTGTGGCAAAAACTACCTGCAGTACTTCATAGCACTAAGAGTTTTGAAAGGTGCTGAACAAGCTGATAAATATTTATATCAATCCGAGTGGCCAGCACGGTGTGAATTGCGACTTAGTTA